GAGGAAAACAGCTGTGAGATGATATTAATATGGATCGCTGTGTGTTTACAGTACAGCTTTATTGGTATATGTGCTGGTACTGCAGACAAATGGCCTAATGATCTCAGTTAATGTGTGGAAAAATGTTTGCACATGAATGTTTGCGTATCTGTCTGTGATTAGTGTATCAGCTGGCCGAAGTTCCTCAACTCACGCTGCGAGAGCGTAGAGCCAGACACCCTAGATCAGCATCAGCCCTCACACAGTATTTTGGTTTTATTGTCATAGAACATTACACATATAATATGTCCAAATATACATAACGCACAAAGATAAAAACATAGATTCACACAGTTTTATGCATAAAACTGGAGCATGACAGGATGAAAATGTCAAAAGTTAAAACTGCACTAATCATCATCTTTTATATCGACATTGGATCAGATCAAAGTTGCTTGTAACGCCAACCACAGAGAAGTATCACCCAGCTCTGTAGTTTCCAGGTGTCACCCACTGTTGTGGTTTTCCACCCTGCAATTTTACTGTTGTGGTTCAGATTCACTGTTCCCATCAGTTTCATTTTCAGCCACAGTGTTTAGCAGGTTATTCAAAATGAGCAACTAGCTGATGAGAATAATATAGAATTTAGTATTTAAATGGCTAGATATTTCCCTCAGAAGCTAATGCAAACCAAAAATGGAGCTAAAAGCAGAGTAAATGTTAGGTATACATTCACTGGGTGCCCAAAAACAAATGAGCAAATGAAAGCTGGATGAATCATTAGGCAACAGTTTTGCCTCAACAGCTTTAACTGCGATAATATAAGTATTGTGAAGACAGCTTGTGGCCAACAATCAATTAATGCTGATTTAAAGTACTTTATTTTCAGTTTTACATAATTTGTAAGCACTGAAATAAGTTACATTTATTTGTTGTTTTTTTTATCATATCTTGTATTTAAATTTGCTATGTCCTCAGTTTTATGTACTGTAATAGCATTAATGGCTGCATGTGGATGCATATGAGAATTGAAATTAAACCTATATAGTGAGGTTGAATGTAAGTAGTTGCCAGTCTGTGGTAGCCCAGTGATGTACTGGTGACCTGTCTTGGATTTACCTCACCTAATGTGAGCTGGGAAAGGAAACTGACTGATGTAAAACATAACTTACTTCCATGACTTAAAATATCTGAAGCAGGTGTACTACTGTTACATTCCCTGTCTTGTCCAAGAGAACACAACATGTCGAAATTAAAGGCTGAGGGAAGTTTGGGGGACAGAGGCAGATCTAGGTGATGTATGCTGTACATCTGTACCAGGAGTAATTGCCAGGCTATCAGCAGGAGTCAGACTGTCTGCATAAACACACAGGGACTGTGTCCTTGAAATCTGCTGAGAGTAGGAGAGGACGGCGAGAGAGGAGTGTAAGAAAAACAGAGACATCCTCTGATAGGGAGGTACATGTCTAAAACGTTCCTTAAAAGACGTGGTTCAGTCATATTTCTTTGAGGTTTAATTGGACAATTAAATGGCAGATGTCACATTTATTAGTGACAGTGATAAGACTCAGATGGGGTTAGATACAGTACGTAATGTGTCAGAAGTGTTTGCAGATGACGTAGGCTAGGTCAAACACGGTCGATCTGTGCTGGAACAGATTTTTTCCCACTCTGCTAAGTAAACTGTGTTGCACTGTTTACTTCAGTTCAGTCCTATTGGCTACGACCCAGACCGTCAGATCTAGTTTCCCATCAACACACTGGATATTTATGTTGAACTGTGTCACTTCTGCCACTTAATGTATGATTTCATGACTCCATGCTGACAGTCCTGTTATATAGTGTATGTAATGCAAAGTATTGTGTCACAGAAGTGACAGCCCTCACTGGTTTCCCTCTACAAGCTCAGCTCTGAAAGCAGTACCTCTGTAGTTTTGTAAGCGCTGCACGTGCAGGTGTTGTTTTACTTTAGTTTTCCCTTCTTCCGGGCCTCATCCCCTCTCTATGTTCTCGTCCTCCCCTCTTCCTGTCTCGCAGCCTCTGTCTCTCTCTGTCCCTGCTGGAGTTTGTTTAGACGGATAGATAGTGGGGAAGTATATTTAGATAACATATATTCCACTGTCTGAACACTGAGCTCAGAGAGGGAGAGAGGGACAGTGGAAGAGAACGAGAGGTGGTGAGAGAAGCAGGGAATCAGAGAAGTAGTGAGAGACAAATGAAAGATGAAATAAAGAAAAAGGTTTAAAGTGAATAGGAGATGGAGATTGCATGAGCTTGACTAGCAGAGGATGGAGAAGAGATGGAGGGTGACAGAGGTAGAGCATACTTGAGTGGCAGCATGTCTCCCACTTTTAGCTCCCCTTCTCTTTTCTATTAGTGTATCCAGGTTAATCTCTCAAAGATACTATGACAGAGGGAGCAAGGGTGGAGAGAGACAGGGTGGCAACGCCGCCTCCCTTTGTTTTTCTTTCTAAATATATACTGTATATTTGTATCTTTGCTTTTATCAGACAGCAGCACACAAATGGTATCAGACAAGTGGGGATAGCAGCGGCATTTGCTCTGTGAGATGGCAGTCATGGACATTATTGTAGAGACGTCAGCCATACCCGGCATTATTGGTACTTGTGTGTTAATAATTATAACAGTTAGTAAAAGCGATGAAAATAGCAGATTTATGCATTTTAACCCAGATGATATTGTCAAGTACTTTAAAAAGACAGACTCCTTTTCTGAATAAATACCAAGAAAGGAAACCAGAGGTAGTTATGTTGAGATATTACAGACATTTTGACTATAAAATCATCTTTCTTTTTCAAATGCTCACTGATGCCTTTTGCAGTTTTGGACCCAAATAAGTTTCTTGTGATTCAGAGACAATAAAACACCCATTCATTCTCTTTTTGAGATTGGCACCAGAAAGCTTCCACATGCCGATGAAATACTGTTTTATATTAATGGTGCACTTTCTGAACTCATGAACCTACTTTGCCACTGAGTCTGTCACAGCTTGTTTAAACTCTTGTAAAAATTTTTACTCGGCCAATGTTTTCTTATTCTGAAGCTTCACTGTTACATTTATGGAGTGTATTTACAAGCAGAATGGTGTACCTACTAATGTGTTACCTTTATTTGCTTACAACTGTGTGGAAAGTTAAACATCCGGTCTGCATCAATTGCTTCACGATGTATGACTTCCCTTCCACCCACTTAGTGAAAGGAAGCAAACGTCATACAGTCCTTAACATACGAGATCAGACGACAAACCATCACATGGTGTACTGTAGATGTAAAACCTGTAGTCAGCCAAATTTTAACATTAAAATGGCTTTATTCTGCCTTTCCACTGAAGTACTCCGAGCTTCTTTTACACCTTAAAAACTCTCACCTCTGTGTCCTGCTGAGATGGAAACCAACAGAACAATGAAATGGCATCTTAACAGTCCAGTTTCACTAATCCCTCTGTTCTGTCTGAAGGGTTTCTAGCTTCACCTGCAGTGACTTGTGTACTACTTGTATCACACCTGGCGAAGTGTTGTACTTTCAGAGAGTCAAGGAATTTTAGATATTCTGTGAAAGCACATGAAGTTCCTTTTAGTTCCCTTTTTGAATTCTCTCTTTGACAAACAAAGCCCATAATAAGGTCTAATAACTGTTCTCAGCTATCTCCTATAAACCTCTTGACTTTGAAGGTGGTATAGGGGTTTGGGGTTATTAGCTCATAATTGAACTGGGAGAGGAAGCCTTTCCATGGTGAAACAATCTTCACTGTTATTGTATGAAGGTTCTGTGGCATTGATGTAATAGCAGAACCACAGTTCGATTACTTACTTTTTAAAATGTCAAAATGTTTAATAGAAACACAGAAAGACTGTTTCAAGGGCAGAATAATATAACCATAAAATAGTTTCTGGCCACTCTTGTCAAAGCTTAACACTGTTCATAGTTATATAGCATTTACTAGTGGGTACATTTTCCAGATCAGATAAATATGACACCACACAAAAGGTTGCAGTTCCAAAAGTGCAGACCTTGCCCTTTTAATCCCTGAACTCCCGGTGGCAGAATCTCACCCCTCCCATCTGCAAGTTAATCCACAGCCCCTTACTCATGCTATGAGCTCATGTCTGTAGCTTTGTTTTGCACACACAAGCCCTGCTGTATAAACACACACAGCAGTATTCTGGTGAACAGCGAGCCACTTGCTGTCCCCCCCTGCTGCTATAACACAATGTATGTCTTTCTGTCTTTGTTAAAGGAATAGTTCGGCATTTTGCTAAATATGCTTGTTCACTTTCCAATACTTTCCAAAACACATCTACCAAGACCTCAGAAGTTCACAAGGTAACACACTGTGTCTCATTTGTACAAGAACAGAAATGTAAAATAGTTTGTGGTGCTGAAAGCTTTGTAAGCACTGTTAGTTCTTCTAATTTCCCTGAAAATAAGTATATGTCCCAACATTTTGAACTATTTCTGTAAACCTGCTTTTTGTATTGTTTTCTTTAAATGTTATTATTTAATAGAGAACATACTTTTACTATGCATTAAAAGATAAACACAAACTAACCACACAGAAAACATTATAGAAATAAAGGAAAAACTAAGTATCCGATCCCACATTTTAACAAAAGAAAAAGAAAAAAAGAAGACAATGATGTTGTTATGTCCTTATTTATATACACAGTCACTTATACAGGGCTCCGCTTCTTGGCTCACATGTGAACTAGCCCAAATCACAACACCGCAGCTGTAGCCACTGTTGCCTTCATTTCGCCTGATTTATTTCCTCTTTTAAACAAACAAAGGCTTCATTACTGAGTCACATGTCAGATTAAAGATTATACCGATGCCCCATTCTATCACACCCATTTCCTACATGTTTCCTGCTTAAATAAAGTCTAACTGGCTCTAACAGTTATTGTTTGTTTGGGGAAAAAAGGCAGCTGACTTTTCCTTTGGCCAGTAGGTACAGTAATACCACAGATATGTCCTAAAGGTACACTATGTCTACATCAACACATATTTGCTTCTAACTGTGTATATTAAATGTGCTCATATATATTTCATTTATCTACATACTAACAGATATAGACACACTTCTACGTAACATACATGTGTATCAACAATATTATCAGCTCAAAAACAGTACACGTTCATACATTCACAGCAACTGTCCAGCCTGTACTACCTTCTACCTTTTGTTAATCCCAGCCTTCACCCTGACTAAGAAGACTCCGCCAACATTCCATATTTAAATTCTGGCATTTTTTGTAGCCTTTTATCGAAAACACTGAAGCTTCAAATACTTTTAAAACATTCCATATTTAATTGTTGTCTCATCATACTTTTAAATATAAAGTATTTTCCCATCATAATGACAGTATTGTTTAGAACTGGTCCTTCCTTAGCTTCCCTTAAATCTCCTAACATTATAGTAAAAGGACAACTGTAGAAGCGTGTGTTGTAGGTAGAAACCCACTTTTTAACAGATCTATCAGTGCTACTTCTCTACAATACCAAAACAAATGAAAGCATATTCCCAGTGGCTAAACATCTGTAAATCAGTTTTAGTTGGAAAGATTCTAACTGGAACAAGTTGTTTTATATATATATATACACATGAAGACATTTTCCCATGGAACTGGTTTATCCAAAACATCCTCCCATTTTGACTTAATAGCTAGTGGTTTAATAGCTAGTAGTGCTGTTTGTATTTTAGCACAGAGACACTCTTCACATCTTTTGCTTGTGCCTCACCCCCAGAACCTGGAGAGATCCTCTGTATTCATCTGTTTGTCTGCCTGTTCTCTGAGCACTGAAGGACTGCTCATTTCCTGTTACCTTGAAGCAGTCCTCTCTTGCTTTGATTCTTTCCTTCTGTTGTCTCGTTCCACGTACGTGTGGGCCTGCTGGATTCCTCTCATAAATCTAACCTTCCTCAAATTTAGTACACCTCTCTTCTTGGTAATTATCTCCTGGAAAGGTGCAGCATTGAGTTCACTCAAACTCAAGTGAGCACCAGGGGAAATAGCTAATCACTCCCACTGTCTGACAGCTAGGGGTTATATGCTCTGGCCTCGGTTTCCTGATCGCATGGAAAGACATTCATCGCCCAGCTGTGTCTTCTCCTTGCCAGACAGATGCACAGAAGAACTGCAGAGACCCTACAGGAGAGCTCACAGTCACAGACAAACATATACATGGTGCAGTAATCCCCCTGTTTCTGTGTTTCAGTTGGTGTGGACAAGCAGTGTGAGCTGACCTGCAGACCAGCAGGCTATCGCTTCTACGTCCGTCAGGCCGAACGCGTCCGAGATGGGACCCCCTGCTTCAATGTTAACGCCAGTGACGTGTGTGTGGAAGGACGATGTCTGGTCAGTGAATTTAAGTGTGTGTCTGTGTGAGATGACAAACTCCAGAGCCTGGCTCGCTTAGTCTCATGTCTGCTGGCTGATGTAAGCCTGGTTTTCATATTCAAAATGTCTCCAATATCTTTTCTTTTCTTTTTCGTTTTACCCTACTCTGTGCCTCCTTTCTCTGTATTTTTCGCTCACTTGCACTCACTCTGATTTTGCCCTCATTCCACTTTTCTGTTCCTAGCAAGAATCTGCCAATTTACACAAACAACAGTGAAATAAACACTGGCAGTGGATGTGAAATGTCAACAAGGCCCAATAGCTTTTCCCTCCTGTGTTTCTACCCCTTATCTGACATCTCCCTCGTTCCCCTACCCCTCTTTCCCCCTATTGTCTGACTCATCACTCACATTTTCACTCTTCACCTTCTTCTCCTGCCAGACTGAGGGTTGCGACGGGGTACTGGGCTCTGGCTCTACAGTTGACAAGTGCGGAGTGTGTGGTGGGCAGGAGACGACCTGTCGAAAGGTGACAGGAAGTTTCCAAAATGTCACGGTTCCCCTTGGTTACCAGAAGATCCTGGAAATACCGCCTGGAGCCACATTCATTAACATTACGGAGAGACGAGCAAGCCCTAACTACCTGGGTAAGATGTAACAGACAATCACGCTCATACACACATGTGGTATGCATTTTAGGATTTCTTGAATAATACCCTTTATAGCTCCAGTGAAAGCGGGATGTTGGCGAGGAAGTTGTAGATTTGAGAATAGGATTTGGCCCATGTGTGCTGGCTCCAACAAAGACTGTAAATTTTGCAGACTCAGGTCAAATAAAGCTAGTATTGTTAGAGTCCATAAGCATTCAGTGTGTATGTGTTCTTTGTGTTGCCAGCCCCCTGTTTGGTGAGACAGCCCTCTAGAGCTTATCTGTTTTAAAGTGTGCTTGAGCTTATGTGGGTTTCCTAATAGTACACCAGACTAAATACGCCTAAATAAGAGTAAACTTAACTCAAACCTTGAACCTTCCCCACCCCGACACATATTTCTCCAGCCATGAGGAGTGGCACTGGGGCATCAGTGGTGAACGGGCGTTGGGCTGTGGACCCTCCAGGGGTGTACCAGGCAGGGGGGACTACTTTCACCTACATGCCAACCAGAACGCAAGCAGAGGGGGAGGAAGGGAAAGGAGAGTCCCTTACGGCCCCAGGACCGACCACCACACAGCTACTACTATATGTAAGCACTGGAACACAGCAAGGCTTTCATTTTAACTGTGTAAACAAACATGAATCGGGGCATGGCAAAATTAATGATAACAATCTGCTGTAAGCCCAAAGTGGTGCTGTGAAGATTCTCCAGATAGGAAGCATTAATTTAGCACCATAGAGGGATAAAGACAGCTACACTAAAGCTTGGCCTGAACCACATAAGATTAAACATGGCTTAATAATAACAAATCTAACCTCAGGCTAAAATCTTATTAAAGAACAGGAGTCATGTGCAGCATTACATCCAGCAGCTACAGGGCATGGGGGGTAAAAATAGCAAGCACACACCAAAGTCAGAGTTTGATGTTCTTTGAAATCACCTGCATTTTAAGCCTTTACGGCTATCAGTTTAAAATAACTAAAAGCCTGTAAGCAGGGAGTTGGCACTGTGAGGCTATAATTACCTGCTGGAAAATAAACTGTTGGATGCATGAAAAATATCTGGAGATCCTTGCCACTGGGGGCTTCAAAACAAAATGTCTGGAGAATCCACATAGATTAAGGGTTAGGATGCTGACCAAGTCTGGCCTGGGACCCTTTGTTGTATTCCTTTCTCCCTTGTTTCCTGTCATCTCTAAACTATTTATAATAAAAACAGGGCACAGGGCAAAGTAGAGAAGAGAGGTCACATAAAGCAGAGCGCCATTTAACGAAACAGCTCTGTTTGCTGTCCCGTTAAGAGTTTTATCAATTCAACTCTCAGCAGAAAAGCCATAGGTTTTAGAATTCCTCCTCTGGGGACTGTGAGTGGTTTTACCTACTGCCAGTTCATCCAGTAGTTATGAGGATATTTCACTCTGGCCCCACATGTTGCACCAAAGGACTGAGACATCAGCAGGTCTAGCAAAATACAGCAAATCAAAATGTTGTTGTGAACCTAAGATGGCCTTGACCTATGTCAGGTCTTATAAGATGAGTTGTTGTGTTTCATAACAAGAGGAAAGACATGCATACACCCTGCTGACACTGATTCCTGGCCAAGACTGTAGTGGCTATTCTATGTCCTGACCTTGCTGTCAAAGGGGAAGAGGACATTTCTCTTCAGGGATCAGTAAGGTTCTTTTAGGGTGTTTCTTGTCACTGGCCACTTCATCTCCCCTTCTGTCTGTTCTCTCTTCTGGCTTTGCACTGCAGATAATATTCTACAAGGACAACCCTGGCATCGACTATGAGTTTTATATCCCCGTGGAGAAGAAGGAGGGAGAGAGGGAGTGGCTGATAGAGAGAGAGAGGGAGCCACCCAGAGAGAGGCCAAGGGAGCGAGAGCCAGCGAGGGCACCCCTTCGCAGTAGGTCCATTGCCCTCCAACCTTCTGACCTCTCATTTGGACAGGCTGGACATACATTATGTAGAGTGCAATTTAGTCTTACCCAACAGATGGTCTCAACATCCAGTCTTTCCAAATTACCCAAGGAATTCATATTCCTGGACAATGATTGACATGTTTATAGATTAGAATGGCTGTGGTTCTGGTGGGAGGGATTATTGTATAAGAGTGTTTGTGAGGTTGTGTATGACCTAGTTGGGAGACTATCTGGTCCACATGTCCACTGTCATGAGATCCTGACCTCATCATGACATCATTACCCTGTGACTCACCGCCTTCCTGCTATTCTCGATATTTCAACATTTATGCTTTATTTGTTTTCTCACACTTTATCGCTCTTCTCTCCTCGTCCTCGTGTCTGTTACCTCCCTCCTCCACATTTGCTGTCCTGTCTAATTTGTCTTTATGTCTGTTTTCTCTTCTCTCCCAGGTCCTCTCACTGTGTCAGTAGAACACCCACCTCCTGGTTCTCCTCCTGTTGTGGTCCCTTCTTTCCCTTCTTCCTCCTCCTCCTACTCTATGTTTTCTCCCTCATCCTCAGACCGATGGACACCTGAGAGGTTACATCCTCAAGGATCTGCACCAAATAGGAACATTCGGATCCCCCCTCGCACTGACCTGCCACTGGACACACAACCACCGTTTGTTTGGAGGACGGGTGGACTCACAGAGTGTTCTGCTTCCTGTGGCCAAGGTCAGATTCTGATTAGACATCTTCATATATGTGACATTTTAAAATGAAGGTTCTATGCACACAGCAGCCTTACTTTGGATGACGTGGTATCTCCCTCCTCTGGTTGTTGGGAGCAAGTACAAGAACCTGGAACTAAAGTACTTGTCGATCTGTCCGTCATTGTCACTGTGCAGGTTCTCAACACAGAGTCATTCTGTGTATAAACCGCCACACAGATGAGGAAGTCCCGGAGAGGCAATGTGACTCTGCAGCCAGACCTGTCCCTGAGGAGGAGCCTTGCAATACGCAACCCTGTCCACCATTGTGAGCCAATTTATAGTTAAACAGACATACACAACATAGATTTTTTTTCATTTTGAACTCACTTATAACTACAAATAGTCACAAAATCATGTTTTTACACCGTTTTTGTCTATAATATCAGTCCTAAAGTTGCATTTTCTTAAAAACAATTTGATAAATCTGGTGCTAATGCAAATAACATTTCTTCAGCTTTTTAAAAAAAATCTTTAGAGCTGCAAGTGACCTTTCTTATTTTAAAATACACACTCACTTTTGGAGAACTCTCAAAACAACTTGACTTCTACCACCAACAGGTTGACCTCATCTCACTGCACTACCAGACTCACATGTTTTAAGAAAATTAAAAAAAAAATGGCTCAGTTATGAATGAACAGAAAGGAATTTTTCTAGTGTACGCTTTCTTGGATTGCACACAAGTTGTCACAAGCATGGACACAAGATGGTCATGCTGTTTTTCAAAAAAAAAAAAAAAAAATTGGCTCAGTTATGAATGAACAGAAAGGAATTTTTCTAGTGTACGCTTTCTTGGATTGTACGCAAGTTGTCACAAGCATGGACACAAGATGGTCATGCTGTTTTTCAAAAACTGCAAACAAGCACAGAGAGTGGGTGGGGTCTGGTTAAGATAAGCATGAGAAGTTGTGTTCATGGAGTTTGTTAGATTTTGGCATGGTGCTTTGAAATGATGGCATCTCTGCAGACAGTGGGCCATGGGTTGGGCTGTAACAAGTCATTTTTAAACTCTTATTTGACTTTTGAACATTTTTGATGTTATATATTTTTGAGCAACTGTTTTTTTTTACTCAGTTATAGACAGACGTTTTTGTAGTGCATGTTTTCTGAAGTAAAAAGCAGGACTTGTACACAAGTTGCAGCTAATGTCTTTGTATTACCTTTAGGTTCTGCAGTGCTAAATCTGAGATGTAATGAATTTCTAAGGTTCAAAACTAAGCAAATTGATTGTCATAAATTAAACCAGTAACCAGCAGGAAAACAATCCATATAGAACCCTGGTATCACACTGTTTTTAACCGTGTCATTTGCAGTGTATACTCCACATAATACAGTATATACTGTACATAAAGGAATTGTTAGTAAGACTTTTTAATTTCTAAGTTAAGCAGTTCAAGGCTGCAAAAACACTAGAACAGTCCTTTAAACCAAGGACATACTGTAGCTATCTACAGTGCTAGACACAACTTGGATGAATGCTGTGATTTCTCTGCATAAACAAACTTGAATCATCGATGATGGCCAAAATATTCAGTGTATTTAGATTGTAAATCCAAGTAATTTGGAGCTGAAATGATTTGCTGACTAATGGCTTAATCAGTCCACAGAAGATTATGAAGCAGTTATTTTTATCATCAATAAATAATTTAAGTAATTTTTTAAGCAGAAATTCACCAAAATCACTGGTTTCAGCTTGTAAGGTGTGAATATTTGCTGGTTTTCTCTTATGGCAATAAACTGAATATTTCCAGGTTTGTGAAAACAAGACATTTTAGATGTCTCCATGGACCATGACCATTTCTTTATTTGACCTTTTATAAGTAAAATGATGATCAGTTAGATGAGAAGATAATTAGATGCACTAACACAGCCCTAACACAATCACATCTGGTTTCCATTAGTTAAAAGTAAGCTTTAACTTGTCTGTCTCTCTCCTTGACTGTATGTCAGCTGGGAGGCCAGTGAGTGGTCAGAGTGCAGTGTGTCCTGTGGCCCTGGTGTGCAGCAGAGGCAGCTCCAGTGCAGGCAGAGCTTTGGGCAGCGCTCCACCATGGTCCACCCGCAGCGCTGTGCCCACCTCACCCCACCAGAGTCTACACAGCCCTGCGAGCTCAGTCTGTGCTCCCACTGGGAGGTCAGCTCCGACTGGAGCACGGTAGGTCAACAACCAGTATGGGGCTGGAAATGCATCTGCTCATGTGTCTGCACTCTGCATGCATGAGAACCAGATGGCTGTGCTGTATCTCAGAAACTGCAAACAAGTACAGAGAGTGGGTGGGGTCTGGTTCAGATAAGCTGAGCGGTTGTGTTCATGGAATTTCTTTTAGATTTTGGCATGGTGCTTTGAAATTTTGATGGCACTATGATAAAAATGCTTTTAAAGTGGGACACCTCTGCAGCCAGTGGGCCACGGGCTGGGCTGTAACAGGTCGTTTCAACTTTTTTTAATGAGTTACACATTTTAGATCAGTGGTAATTCCAGATATGAATCATAAAACAAACACGCACTTCTCTGAATGTTTGAAATCAACAAACCTCTGCTTCCTTGCACATAGTTTAACTTTTTAAAAGTAATTTTTAACTTCATTCTCATTTCTTTTTTTAATATCTTGTTTTTCTGCTACTTACTGTTGCCTAATCAGTTGCCCTCTGGGAACAAATAAAGTGATTTATTAATTCATAATTAACCATTAACTTTTTGTGTCAACTAGTGTTGGAGGGACTGTATATTCTAGTTGAGGGAACGGGGATGTACATGTGTTAGATCTCAGGTTTATGCTCTTTTTGTTCCTGTATTTATTTCTCCTCTGTCTGTTGCAGTGCTCAGTGGACTGTGGAGTAGGGAGGAGGACAAGGAGTGTGCGCTGCGTCAGTGATCAAGGAAGCATAGTGAACGACAAGGAGTGCAACTCCAGGCTCCGTCCCCAAGGGACTGAAGAGTGCAACATGGGGCCCTGTGTAACCAACTGGTACTTCACTGACTGGTCCAGCACTGTGAGTAACACACATGCATTGGTGCAAGGGAACAACCATTCACAATGTTTCACAGCGACCCTCAACATGATCTTCCGCTTTGTGTCCCTCAGTGTTCGGCACAGTGTGGCCCCGGGGTGCAGAGGAGGGAGGTGGTGTGTCTGACTCGAGGAGGGGTCAGGGAGGGTGGAGGAGGGGAATGTGTTGGGGAAAAACCAGCAGAGATGAAGGCCTGTAATGGGGGCCCCTGTGTGCCAACAGCCATGTGGTACAGCAGCCCCTGGACACAGGTAGGACAGAGGGAAGGAAATACATAGGACAATTCAGAGGGTTTTTGTTTGATTGTTTTTTTTGGTGTGTTTCTCTATTTAGTTCTTGTCTTGTTTCATACTGTGTAATTTTGGTGCGTGACAAATGCCCATCACCAAAATGGTGCATTTCAATAAATGCTGCCAACATTGTGCAGGATTTTTAAAACTTGTTTAACTTTAATTTGTGCTTTATTTAGTCTTTGGTGTGACCTTGAGTCTTGTAAATTTTTTGGTGCATTTATGATCTATTTATTTTGAAGTAATATGACATTTATTTTGCAGTGAGCACAGCTACTGGATACCTGATGTAGAGCATATGACTGGTTTTTGCTCTTTTCTAGTGCAATGTCCCGTGTGGGAATGGGACTCAGCGACGAGACATTATTTGTGTCCAGAAGATGGGAAATGATGTTGCGGTTGTATCAGCCAATGAATGTGCACATCTGGACAAGCCTGCTGCAGTCCAGGAGTGCGAGACGGGAGAGTGTCAGCCGCAGTGGTTCACTACAGAGTGGAGCTCGGTGAGAGACCGAAAAGAGCCGAAAAAAGCATGGAACTGGGAGTAAAATGATGAAAATTGAAATTACAGGACAAAACAAACAAAAGCAACCAGGACAACTCCAGTAGGGTTGTCAGAAGATTGTCGGCGTATTGTGCACCACTCGCACTATATCAGATAATGTTGCATTTATATTTCTAACAGTATTAGGAATTCTGTCTCTCTCCTTTGCTTTTGTTCTCAGTGCTCACGTTCCTGTGGAAAAGGCTTACAGATGAGGGAGGTGCGGTGTCTAATGCCGGACAAAAAGCACAGCCACGAATGTGACTCCAACACCAAACCTGAACAGGAGCAAATGTGCAACATATTACCCTGCGGTCCACAAGTCTCAGGTTGGTGTGAGCATTGATAAGACAGTATATTTTGTGTGTTTTGGATTCCACCCTACCTACCAGTCTCTCTCTCCTTCTCTTTAACCGTAGATGAAAACTGCCGGGATAGACGCCATAACTGTGTGATGGTGGTGCAGGCCAGGCTGTGCGTCTACTCCTACTACAAGACTGCCTGCTGTGCCTCGTGTACCCAGAGTGCTCAGCGTGCCAAGAGGCACTGACCTGCCAATCACAGACAGCCCAGGTGTGCTAGAAGTCAAGTATTAGGTCAATAGGGTTGATCGCCCCTGAAAAGGCAAGTCTGTAGAAATGAGCAGCTCAGAGTAGACGTGAAGGCTTTGACATTCAACTGTTTGTTCCTGATTCTTCAGATCATACACTGTGAAAGCAGCCACTTCTTTTTACCAGTTCTCTGCATTTTATATCGGGTTTTATATTGTCTCTTAGAACCACATATTCCACTAAGATTGTTTCTGTTTATGTTGTACATCGGTTTTAGCAGGTTCATGTATCACACAGGGCTGAAGGAGGCATTTCCACTCTTGGAGGCTCATTTCTATGGCTGAGAGACTGTACAAAAGGTGCTCACTGAGGACACAGCTGTGTTTCAACAGCCTTTTCTGAGATTCCTTTTAATCTACAGGATCTTAAGACAGATTTAGTCCAACATGTATACCACTAATTATGTGCTGAACAAATAATTACCATGTGTGCTAGATAAACTGTGTAGACAGTAGATCTGTGCGTTGCTGAAGATCTACTGGAATAGATCTGCTGTGTTTCTGTACACTACAGAAACTCCCCACTGAACCACAGTGGCGACCCCCAACTAAGCTATAATGATTTTATTTACATATCATATGTTTATTTTCTTATTGCCAAAAATATATTCCTCTAGTGTCCTTGTATTGTTCAGTTCAGTATTTGGACAGATGAACCAAAGGAGTAGGGTGACCATGGCAGTAAGTGACCAAATAAAATACGTCAGTGCAGGAGGGGCATTAAGCATGGATGTTAAAAAGGCAGCATAGACTCTGTACAGTCTTTTAGTGTATTTGTCTCAGTATACAGATGGGTGACAATGGAAAGACACTGTACACTGTAGGTCTTTTTAAAGACAGCTGTTAATTGCATTAGTGTTAAAATCCTCTGCAAAGGTGTGAAGACTCTATTATGTTTTTTACAAAATAAAAATGATGCTGCTCACTAAATTAACAGGCATGATTTGTAAATTGAAAAAAGAAAGACATAGTCCTGGTTGTTCAGTACTTTTCTTCTTGTCAACACAATACTAAAACCAACAAGGCTTTAGTCTATTTCTTAATATTTTCAGACTTCCCAGCACATGTCTGTGACACTCAGTCTCAGCCTATTCAGGCTACTGATGATGTAAATCTTTAGATTTTGGTCACAGTTATATAGTTTCATTAAAGAAAGACGATAATTTTATGAAACACGTGAGCGCTGTAGGTTTTAGTAAGTGTTACTCAAACAGGAGTAAATAGTAAATTTAGTAAGGACTTTTTTTCAGCTGTGGATTAACACATTATTTATGACACCAGGACAACGTATGAGGGATTGTCTCAAAATAAACTACAGTGCCCATGTTCATCTTAATGAAGGAACATGTCACCAGCAGAACAGTGTGGCTCACTGTTGTGTTTGTAATCATTTCTCAGAGCTCTGTGGCACAGGTGAAGATGTTAGAAAAGACTTTGTCTAGTCAGCCAGTACATGTTAGTTTCTAATTGTTGTTAATTTTGGTCTTTTCATGGGACTTGTTGACATTGAGAAGAATATAGAATGTAGTTTTTTCCTGGAATTTGATGATGCACAGTTTAGAAACTTAAATTAACTCCTAATTGATTTAGATAGATTTTGTGTTTTTGTGTTGTGATGATGGCACCACGATGATCGGGCTGATGTATTTTTTTTATAAAACACCTTTATGTTCTCCTCTTTCCTCTCCTCATCACAGTATATCCCTTTTGTGTGTGTGTGTATTTAATATCACTGTTCTGGGAGGAGATGGTAAATCTGTCTTATGAAAATAAGCGAAGCCAGAATTAGGAAACTCTTTGGAAACTGAGACGGCTACTGTCGCTTAAACATCTTTTAACAAGTTTAATTATATAGATTAACTGCAACAATTGGAACCATTCTGCTTTGACCTGAAAGTAAATATTTGCATTCTGACATGGCAACCTCTATATTTACAGTATGTGTAAGTATTCTTTGATGATGATCTTTCTTCCTTTCCTTGGTTTTACTTTGCCCTTTTCCCCACACCCATAACTATAGTCTGCCCGCGTCAGGGTGAGGAGGTGTCTGTATATTTGTCAGATATGTTTGAATGTCTATCTTTTCTTTTGAAAACAATAAGCGCTTATGTTTTATAACTGATTAGAGTTATCAGAAAAGTTGTAGTAGACTGCTTTATTCGCACATAACTGTCATATAACGATTGTATTTTTTGCATTTGACAAAAACATTTTGTGATTTTACTGTACTTATGGTTTGTGGATGTTTGTGCATGTGATGTGTGCGTATGTGCATGCATGTATGGATGTGTGTTTTGTGATTTTGCCTTTGAATGGCTCATTTCCGTCTCTAATCCCTCATAGTAAAAATTGCATTTTATATGAAACCAAGAAAAGGATAGTAATTTATCTATTATCTAAAAACCATGTAATTTATTTTGTGTTTTAAAAGGCTGTAGGATTTGTGTGTGTGCGTGTGTGTTATGTTTATTATCACTGATACACAGACGATTTTTAAATCAAGAACAAAAGTGTGGAAAAAATATTATGCCAAAGCTTCATTTTAAATAAAAGTGAAACCAGAGAAATTAAATGGCAAGTAGTTTTGTTTGTTGTTGTAGCCGAATTCCTCCAAATGATGGCGCCATTGAGTCTCAAACGTAAATGACCACTTAGGGTAAAACCCCTGTTGGGTGTCCAGTCTGGACTGTGGCTTTTTTTTTTTTTTTTTAAGAAACCCAAATGGCAGGTAAAATTATTCAAACCAAAAGATAAATAAGAATTCATGGTTGTTTTACGATATTCACAAATAGCACAATGAAGCCATTGTTTGAACAATAACTTTAAGCCATTTAATGTGTCGTGTGATATTTTGACAGTCTAAAACAAAAGCAGCGTTTCCAAATGAAGTTTTTCATGCAGATTATTCCATGGGAAAATATGAAAAGCTAATTTTGCCAAGTTGAGAAAGGTCAGAAATGTCTTGCTGCCTGAGGTGTAAATGTTGGAGTGTCTGGACGAGTTGAAATATGTCCAGTAGGGGCAAGTTAAAGTAAAGCGAAGTGAAGGCAGGGAAGAAAAGGTCAAAGTTTAAAAAGCATAGCAAGCTTGTAAGACTGTATTGCTGCTCAAGTGAAACAGGCATTTAGCAACGATGGCATGGCCAAATGCTGGTTTGCCAGGTTCCAGGGTTGTATCCAGGATTTTAGAAACACTGAAGTCCCCCCAGTGACCCTTAAATATTTGGGTGCTTCATATTTTTGTTATTTATTTAATTAAAGATTAAGTGACATTTTAGTTGATATTCTTTCATAAGCTATATTGCCGAGAATGCTTTAGGAATAGCCTACTTAACTTTTAGCCTTAAAGTCTATTTATCCTTAAATCAGTCTGTAAAATACTCATGATGTATGTTCTTTAACTGTAGCATGTATCCTTAAAATCCCCAGGAAATAACATAGCACATGACATCAGCATTTTGCTGTGGTGTTTGTTTACTAGGCCTAGGCTATTCTTTGACTTTTAGACTAGATGATTTTTTTATGCACAGACTAGACCAGTGATAACTGCATTAACCTAAATAACACATGCAGCTCTAAAGTTTTATAATGCTGTTGCAGCTATGTTTGATTAGTTTGCAGCTGCATTTAAATGGATCATTCAGAAAAACTTGACTAAGGATGAAGAAATGCCTGTTTAGCTATAGCAAACCTGATTAAATCAAATTAAAGTTTAGGTTTGTTCGCCCTCCGGTTTTACTCTTGGGCCCCGCGGGTGTTGCATCTCTCCTGTCTTGTGTGCTAGGTTTGTAAGAAGCCCCTAGTGTGGTGATATACTGTATGTACATGCCAGTAGGTTCGTGCGTTGGTGTGCAGCTCAACGTGTGTGTGTGTGTGTGTGCAGTGCGGGTGGGGTGTGGATGAATGTGGCGGGGGATGCTGGCTCATAGAGGGCACGAGGCAAAGCAGGCAGATGGTGACCTTTTGGAGCAAATTAACATGAACCCTATATGACTCTCGCTTTTCACTCAGTCTCGCTCCTGGCAAAGATGTGCACGCACGCATACCTCAAAGATAAGATGTGTTAGTTTAGCAATAACAGTGTACACTGCCTGTTTTTACACATCTCGGTTTAAAAAAAGTCCAATGTCGACCAGTTTTCCAAAGTACAGCCTGTAAAGTAGGCCAACTCCATCCCGGAGCTATCTCCTCTTCCCTCTGTCACACTTTTTACTCTGTGTGGGTGTGAGCGTGATTTCGGGCTCGGGCGTGAACAGCTGTAGTAGTCGTGACTGCGTGCACGGCGTCGGCGGCGCGCTTCGGCTTCATGTCAAGAAGCATCATTTCAGCACCAAGGCCAGGGCTCGCAGCTAGAACAATAGGCGGCTCCGCGCACGGTATCGCCTAGGTAACGTCTAAAAAGTTTTATCCGCAAACTGTCACTCACACGAAGAAATCAAAAACACATAAAATACTTGCAATGTTGTGAATATACACATAATACGTACAGCACCGGGTTTAACGAATGGATTTGTGAAATCTATTGAGAAAGTGGGAGAGGATTTTTTTTTTCGTGTGAGTACGGCGCATAAATTTGTCGACGGCCCCTGGGAGTTACGTCACAGGCTAGCAACCGCTGTGGTGAGAGGAGGGGAGGGGTAGAAATAGAGCGGAGGAGATACCGGTATCGGACGTTAAAAGCCGACCCGCCGTGAGACGTTAAAAGAAAACATAATAGCAAGAGTAGTCGGTAAGAAAAGCTTCCGGTAGCGGTTGGAACAATAACGTCGATGTAGAAAGAGGTTGTTACAAGAGAAGCCAACAAGCAAGTTTAAACAGCAGGGAGTTAACCGAATAAAGCAGCTGGTTAGCTCGTTATCACTTTGTAAATTAACAGGAATTTAGAGTGGCTTTTCGTGAAAGTAGTAGCTGCCTACCGCTCGGTCCACTCTGGATTGGTTGGTTAAATTTCAGCGGGACAGGCGACAAGTTTTTTTTTTTTTTCTTTTCTTTTCTTTTTGTTTTTTGAGTCACCTGCCAGAACTCTCCTCCGCCACCTCCAGACCCCCAGAGCTGGACCACGGGGTTTTGTAACAACACACCCGAGCCTGTAGTGTCTGTACACCGAGGAGGAGCAGAGGGAGATCAGCAGGGCTGGTACAAAGAGCGGTGAGCATCCAGAGACAGGAGCACGGGACGGAGAGCGCGCGGCGAGGACAACAACGGGGACCCACCAGAGCGCATCCCTCAAATATCTGCTCAGCACAGGCAGCACAGTGCTAACCATCATCTGCAAACGGTAAGCGCTGTATTGTATGCAGCCCTTTTTTTGAGTCACCTGCCAGAACTGTTGTGTATTCATATATATATATATGTGTGTGTGTGTGTGTGCGTGTGCGTATGTATGTATGTGTGTACATTGAGGGGGGTCGGACAAAGCAAGGGAGCCCCATGACATCTGTGTGTATGCTGTAACCTACAGCTGGCTAAACAAAGAAACCGCTCTATTGCAATGATTTACCCCAGTCACGCAGTTTCTTCTCTTTTTTTATTTGTAGAAATTGTGAACGCTGTTAGTCCCGTAAAAGAAGACGCACACTTACATATATTTTCGACGTATATATATTTAATTGGGAGAAAATTGCCATTATTGTTTGTTGATTGGCTAATTAAAATTTGCATAATTGTTTTACCAGAAGCTACTGAAGCCCTTTGTCATCAGGCTGGGCAATAAATACACAAATAATCATGCATATAATATTCGCAATTATTTACAGAATTGGGGCAAACATTTTATAGCCTAAGAGCATATTTAAACAATATATAAAATTTTTATGTTTAGAATATTTTTTTATTCTTCAGTTGTCTCACCTAGACTACTAGATGACTAGACAACTAGAAATATGCTAATACTATAATACATATGATAAGTATCATTAAGTGGGGGAATATTGAATATTGTTTTGATACATAAGTATTTTAAAAATCTATAAAGCATGTTAATTATGAACTATTATTATGAATTTTTTGTGTTTTTTCATCCGGGTCTTCCACTGTTTTCTTTTTCTCACCACCTTTACGGCTGTGCCCCAAAGACTGGTCCAGCATCGGTTGCTCCTCTCCAGGGATCCCTGCTTCTAATCTGTTTGCCCCTCAGCCCCTGTAGTACCCAGTCATCCTCTCCACCCTGTCCCGATGAAGGAGGCTGATGCCATCAAGCTGTTTGTGGGGCAGATTCCCCGGAATCTGGAAGAGAAGGACCTCAAGCCTATTTTTGAGCAGTTTGGCAAAATCTATGAGCTAACTGTGATTAAGGACAAATACACTGGCATGCACAAAGGTAGGTCTCATCAGTATAACACAGCCTAAACACACAAACATGGACAGATAACTGAATACTAGATAGGTAGACGTGTGACGATAAGATGGGTGGATTTTCCTGCACTGAGTGTCACATGTCTCCATGGAAACTGTCACACCTCCTCACATCTTCATCTCCTGTTAACGCTGCAATGTGAGATTATGAAGACAGGCAAAGAAATTCAGTTACTGCACATACACTGAATCGAAAACGTGTTTATGAAAGAGTATGTTAGTGGAAAAAAAAACTTAATGTCTATTTAGAATTGTCCTTCGATTTGCCGACATGCTTGTTTATAATTCTGCAGGAGAACATGATATATAAAGGTGTGATACATACGTTTATAATATATGGTGCACAGAGTTGAGAGTCTCCTAATTATTTTAACAATTAAAAAGCTTTAAATAATGACCAGCTCTAACAAGTATCAAAAACACACATTTTATCTCTTTCTCACACTCTTAAACGCACACACACTGACAGGGGGTGCTATGTGTTATGAACCAGATTAGGCTGCATGCTCCAATCAGAGTAATGGGCCTCTAAGCCTGGGTGACACAGGGGAAAGAATCTGTTGTTCTGAGAATCCCCATGGCCACAGTAAGCCCTTCTTAAAAGCCATGAGATGGACCATAAGATGCATACGTGTCTGTGTGTGTGTGTGTGTCATGTACTTTCCTGTGAGTGTTGTTTTATTTCCTTTATGCATTTTTTTATGGAGTCGTTTTTCAGATGTACAGTGTGAATGTTTCCTTCCTTGTCAGATCTTCTCTTCTTTGCTCTGAATCTACATTATTCTGTCTGAGATGTCACTGGGATGCTAACCTGCTGCTAATCTTGTTGTCTTAGTGCTGGTGACAGGTGTAGTAAACAGCTCTGACCAGCCAGCTCTACTACCTTCCTCTCCCTCACACACACAGACACAGGTACAGCACATAGGAAAACAGAGGGAGTGTATTCGGAGTGATCGTGCGGCATGCAGAGAGGTTGGTATAGGGCAGAATCCTGACTGTGCCCTGCCTGTAAGGCCTTGTTAGCCCGGCGCACACGTCTGTGGTGCTGTCATGTGTGCTGACTTGTGCCGTGCCGTTCTGAAATGTGCCGTGCCGTGGACTGTCCTTCTCTGCTCTAGAGTGCATCATCATGGTGTTGTCGAGTACAGTAATAATGCATGAATATATATATATATATATTTTTTTAATCTTCCCGCAAGTTAGCCTGGTGATATTTCAGAAGAGGTGACAAGAAATCAGGGAAAGGTCCAGAAACGGTGACATTTAAATGATTTAAATGGTGTGTGATGGTGTGTGATTGTCAGGGGTGCTACAGAGACTGTGATAGAGAATGACACATATTAAAGCTGTTTGCCCAACTTTTATACCTTTACTCCTTTTCCATCTCTTTTCTGTCTTTCTCTGACAGGATGTGCGTTTCTGACGTACTGTGCAAGAGAGTCGGCACTGAAAGCCCAGAGTGCTCTACACGAGCAGAAGACACTACCAGGGGTAAATGCACATCACAAACATATACATGCACAGACATCCCCATACCGTTATATTCAGTGTTCTATTCATCTCATTAGGGCCCCCTCCCCCCACCTACATACACAGATGCTGCCATCTACCTTGTATACAGACACAGAAGTGACATCACATCAGTGTTTTTTGTGCTATTGGAGGTTCAGCTCTCATTAGTAACACTGTGACATAAGTTAGCAGCCAGCAGGCGTCTTGCTGCTAGGGACAAACACACCCTTTTGCCGGAGAGACACATAGGAGTACTCCTTGAGCATTATCATCTTCATTTCTCTATCTTCCTCTGTCTCGTCATCTCTGTCTGTCCCCCATTAGCCTCCAGTGATAGCTCCCGCCTAGAGAGTGTGTAATTAATGTGGCCATTCCCCTTTGTCTCATCCCAGTCTCCCTCAGTCTCTAGTGAGGGATTGTGTGCTGTGGTTGGGCTGGGGTAGGACACTGTTCGTTATAGATGGGACACTGTGCGAGATCTGTGTCTGTCTTGTAGGCCGTACCTCTCTGTTTTCCCTCGCTCTTTTCTCTCTGTGACCTGGTTTTCACTGCAGTTAAAAACTGATTTTGCAGTAACTGTTTTGGTACATTTTGCCATTGTATCCTATTTTATAATCCAGAAGTAGTGTGCACAACTATCAGGCCCAGAAAGAGCACTGTTTAAGGATAGGATGTTTGTAGAAATGACCTTTTCCTAGCTTTATCTAAACTCTGATTTACAGCAGTTAGAATAATGAGTGTACCTCAACTATCTTTATCTCAGTCTCTCTGTGACTCTGCCACTGATCAGAGTTTCAGTCCCTGCACATTCTCTGCAAGGTGGGGTGTTGATAAGATCTCTGTGAGAAAACGGTTGGAGGAGAGCCTTTGGGGGAGGGGAAATATTCTGACACACACAAGCATACGTACATATTTTACATGCAGCTGGGGAATGCCTCTGCATTCATACATACACAAATGCTCACTCATACAAATGCAGCATGTTAATAATGACATTAATCCAGTTAGAGCTACTAAGGAGTCTGACCTTTCTGCAAAAATCACCTTCCCACTGTCTGCTGTCTTGTTCCCCTCTCTCTTGCTGTCTTTTGTCCTCTGACTCATTTTTCTAACCATCTCCACTGCTTTACTTTAACCTTTCTTGTTGATGTCATCAATTAACAAACTCATTGCAGCAAAGGGAAATTATCCATAAGCCTGCTTTTCAAGCAGATGTTTCAGCGGATTTCTAGATAAATGGTAATAAATATTCTGTACACACAGAGGAGATATGTGCAGGGAGGATACTCATTAACGATACAGATTTACTAAAGAGGCAGGATACAACAATCAGGAGCACCACTCCCCTGAGGAAGACTTGTATTGAAACATGGGTGTTGTTGTGTGCTAGGTTTTAAATAAGCCTGGACTGTTCTGTGCATCATTACTGTTTCCACATGCGGCTTTCCTCAGTTTGGAACAGCTTGCCTTCTCCTATGAGGCTTATGAAAAGGAGACATCATTCCTTATTCTGACTATTTTGTCAGCATGAGTAAAGTACTGGTAAGACTATGAAAAATAATTTGAGACCTTTCAGTGCTTTTCTATGTTGAGTTTAGTGAATTACTTAATTAATACCAATAAATGAAAGATAAGTGCACAATTTTACAGCAACACTTTCCTCTATTCAAAGTACTCACAAATGTTTTGTCGACTACTGCTGGGCATAAATGAGCTCCTCATATTTCTATCACATCATATTTCTAAATAATTCCAGTACATTATTTTGATGATTAGATTTAAGCTGGGAGGCCTCTAAATTGTGTAAACTCTCCCCTCCCTGTATTTTTTCTAAGGCTTAGCTCTGCTATCACTTTCCACTGCCGTTCTATATTCTTTCTCTATCCTGCGTCTTCTTCCTTCTTTCTCCCCCTCCCTGCCTATTGCCTTCTTTGACAGGATTTAAAAATGACTTCTGAGAATTTCTCTCTCTTTCAGTCATTGGCCTATTATCCCATTCTTTTCTCCCTGAGAATTGCTTTTTCATCTCTTCCCTATTCCTCATTTTATTTCCCCCAAACCTCCATTCTTCCCTTCTTTCCATTTTATCTATTTTTTCCCTCAAATCCCCTCTGTCCTGTGTTCAACTCCTCCCCTCACACCCTCCTGTTTCTCTGTACCAGCGGACTATTACAGAATGCCAACCCTTTCATCGCTCGCTCCTTTCCTCTCAAAAATCTCTTCATGGTGTCCTGCTATCATTTTTTTCCCTCACTGCACACTGCTGCTTCCTTCTCGGATTCTCATTTCACAGTCATTTATGGTAACTCTTCTCCTAAGTCCTCTGCTTAACGCCAGTCTCTCACTCTCTCCCTGTCCCCCCCCGT